CTGTTGTGGCTAAAGTGAATGATAGCACCCTCTATAGATGTTTCAGCTGAGACCAACCAATGATTGAGACCCAGGATTTGACTCTCATAGAGTCATAGAGCCGTTTGGAATGGAAACAGACACTTTGGTCCAACTCGTCCATGCCAACCAGATATCCTAAACATAATTCTACCAGTGTCCGCCACTTCCTCTGGCAGCTCATTCCATACTTGCACCACCCTCTGCATGAAAGGGTTGCCCGTTAGGTCCCTTTTCAATTTTTGTCCTCTCATCTTAAACCTATGCCTTCTATTTTGGACTCCTCTGCCCTGGAGAAAAGACCTTGGCTATTCACCCTAGCTTTTTTAAATTCAAGTAGAAATAATTTATTCTGAGTTTTCACGCAGGAGTTAGAGATAGTTCTTAGAGCTGAAGGGATCAAAACGTATCGGGCAAAAACAGGAACTTGGCACAGAGTTGGTTGATCATATTGAATGGCAGGTCAGGTGTTTTCTCTGATTCTGTGAACAATGATTGTCATCAGTCTTTTAGTTTTGCCATCAAGTGATCAGGATCTCCTCACAGCTAAAAAGAACATTTTTGATGCATAGTCACTGTTATATCATTGGGAATTGTTCAAGGCCAGTGTGCCTCAGCAAGCTGCCACAAACAGCAGTGAGGTAACTACTGAGTATTCTGTTTGGAGTGGTGTTGTGTGAAGGTGAAATGATCCCTGGAAGAAGTCTCGTCTTTGTTTGGAGTAGTAACAGGTGTTCGTTGGAAAAGGAAATGGGGACTCGGTTAGCAGCAGGAGGCTTAGGGGGCAGCATTGCTGTGTGAACTGACATTATGTGCACAAGTCCCTGGAATGGGACTAGCATTACCAACCTCTTCATTTGGATTCGAGAGCGCTGGCAGTCAAACAGCTGGTTGCATAGCTCATTGCGGCTTCGTATTGAGCCTGTGGAAATAAAAACCTCTTCGTTGCAGCATTCAGTGTTGCATGTAACAGATAAGTTTGAAAGTGTTGATGAAAACTTTAGACTGCAGGAAGGTACCAATGAACTGGTCAGGGTGGGGTTGGGGGTGGGGGATGGTGCAGAAAGTGTCAAATGCAATTTGGTCCAGAGAGATAACACATTGAGGGAGGACAAACAAGGATGTGCAGATCCTTTCATGTCATTATAAATGGCAGCGTTTTGAAAAGTGTGGGTGTACTGAAAGGTAGCAGGACAGTTAGGAGAGAATCATAGAATCCCTCCAGTATGGAAGCAGGCCATTCGGCCTATTCAGTCTGTAGTGACTGCTCAAAGAGTATCCCACCCACCCTACCTTCTCCCTGTAACCCATTTCCCATGGCTGATCCAACCAGCCTGCACACTCCTGGACACTATGGGCAATTTCCTGTGGCCAATCCACCTAACCTGCATATCTTTGGACTGTGGGAGGAAACCGGAGCACCTGGAGGAAACGCATGCACACACAGGGAGAATATGCAAACTCCACACAGACAGTCGCCTGAGGGTGGAATTAGAACCCAGGTCCTTCATGCTGTGAGGCAGTGGTGCTAACCACTGAGCTACTGTGCTGTTCTTAAGGTTGAGATAGTCAAGAAATCATATGGAGCACCTTTCCTTTATTGCCTGAAGAGTAGAGTGCTAAGAGCAGGCGATTATGCTGGAATTGTGCTAGAACACTCGTCAGAGATCTGACACAAATACAGTATGACATACAGTGCTGGTTGGCACTTTACAGGAAGGATGCAGTCCCACTTGAGAGGGTCACAGAGGAGATGGAAAAGGAATAGACAGTTTTCAGTCTGACAAAAAATTTGATAGGCTGGTTTGGTTTCCTTCAGAACCGAGGAGGCTGAGGGGAAACATAATAAAATTATAAGAGACCTGGACAGTGTGGACAGGAAGGGCCCGTTTACATTAAGAAACTGATCACTAACTACGAGGCACAGATTAAAAGGGATTTGTGGAAATATCAGAGGGAATGTGAGAGAAATGCTAGGAGTCTGGAACTCACTACTTCATGGCGTGGTACAACAGAAATCCTCACCTGTTTTTAAACATCAGTGGATCTGCAAGTGCTGTGACCTGAGAAGCTGGATAATGGGAATTAGACTTGATAACTCTTTTTAGGCTAGCACATGAATGGCTGGCTGAATGGCTTCCCTCTATTCCACATTGCTACATATCTTATTATCATGGCCAGTGTAGACAGGAATGTGTTATAGAACTTAAAGCCGTATTTTTACAGCTGCAGACAAATCTGAAAAGCAAGCAAATACCAATTAAATATGGATAATCACAGCCAGTTATGAAATTCTAGAGTCGCCTTTGCTTAAGGATGAACCATCAATAAACAAGCCCAGGACATGCCAGCTCATCTTTCTGCCATAACCTGGACAATGGATCCATTGGAACATGAATGTGAGTCTTCCATTATATCATGATGGCACCTCTTTGCATCCATTAAAAACCTGGCTATCTCTAACTCCCAAGGTATGAAAAGCCACAAGGCAGGATGTTTATTGGCATAACACATCACCTTTATTTTGAAAAAGACTTTGAACTTATGACAAGTCACCTGTTACCTGCTTTCAAAAAGTAACATCAAAGTGTATTCTGAGACAGAAACACTAGCTGAAAGGTGGCTGGATCAGCTGGAAGATGAATACACAGCCAAGGTAATATATAGGTACTCCATCACAGGGGGCAAGGTCCTTTCCACAATTTGTTCCAACTTCAACGTCACCTGACTAATGACCTCTTGCCAATGAAATGAAAAGAAGCCTCTTAACCTACTGAAAATCCTTTGCCTTTACCAGACCTCCCCACTCTAGCCAAGGCTTCAATTCATCCAAGAAACTATCGGCCTGTTATAAAAGTGACTGAAACAATTCCACATTTAATCAGCTTTTAATTCTTTTCTCATCTACATCTAATCTTTGTGCGTGTTGTATTTGTCTGAGATATCATCTTTTAAACACCCAAGACAAATTGTGATAATAAATAATCTTTATTTTTAACTTCTTGAAAACTGGCTGCTGAAACCATTTATAAATTACTGTTGAGGTCAAGAACACCCATTCGTTTCACCCATTAAAACATTTTGCTCATATGTTTAAAACAATTCTGTCTGTTACACTATCAGCTTAAGAGGTGTGATAAAATTTCTTAAAACTTCCTCTATTTATTACAAAGGTCGATTTTTGAATCTGATCTCTAACTGCAAACATAGCAGCCTTAAAAGCAGAAAGGTATTTTGGACTCTGGTGCATAAATCCATTGCAGTGCCAAATATTTCTCAGTCATATCCATCTAACTGGGCCATTTCTAAGGACAGTAACTTAGTCTTCTTCAGTTCCCTTTCCAAAGGCAGGCTCATCCCACAGAGATCTTCAATTGGCAAGTGAAGGAGGCCAGATCCCAAATGTTCCTCAGCTGGAACCGGGATAACTTTCCATGCTGTTAGAACAAATCTGATCCATACTGGCCATCCAGTTAACACTTCTAGCACTACCCATTTTCCCACAAGACCTACTGAAGTTCAGTAAATGCATGCTGCATGAAACTTTTACTGTCCTCTACATTAAGTTCTTTTCCAATTCTGGTTTAGAAACAATTAAATTTCAATAAGCATTTCTTCAGTTTGAATAGAGCTAAATATTTAGACATGGCAACAGCTGTCAGTGATCTGCATTTACGTTTGAAACTTATAACAATAAACACAGCTTGCGAGACACACACACACACACACACACACACAAGCTCAAACACACACAGACACACACACACGCACACACACATCACTTACACATCACACACACACAGACATGTACACAAAATGCACACGCAACACACACAGACACACACAATCACATACACAGACACACACTCAACACACACACAATCACACGTACAGACACACACTCAACACACACACACAGCACACACACTCACACACATACACAGCACACACACAGACACACTTAACATACACACAGCACACAAACAGACACACACCTAACATACACACACACACACACACGGACACACACACGCACACACATACAAGCGTGCAAGCAGTCATTGTCTGCAATACTACAGGAAAGGGTCACCCTTTCCAAAAAAAAACAGTTTGGTTTAGCTGAGGAATGTTCCATCTGATTCGTCTTTAGCTGAGCATTAATTGGGTCAAAAAACCCTTTGAGTGAGATGTACAAGATCAAAGCCACTCAGTCATCATCTCTGTGGCAAAATGTTACTGCGTGTGCCCTGTAAATAGCTTTTCAGTGCAATATAGCTTACAAGCCTTTACGTTTCTGTGGTATTGATTTCAGGTTAACTTTGGCACGTTGAATTCACTTTCTCTAAGAGCTGAATGCAGTATTTCATATATAAGTGCTGTTCTTGTCAGGCTTTCAGCTCGTCATCCAATTTTGAATAAAATTTAACTCGATTCATCCCGTTTTTTCAGATGTTGCACCTGTCATAGTTGGCACAAGACTGCTAAGCCAATAGCTGGAAACATAGAGTCCAAATTTCAGTCAGAATGAGGTTGTCCATCAGCTCCTGTCCACATTGCAGACTACTTTTTAATTTGAAGCTTAATTTTGAACTACATAGGCAACTATACTACAATGAAAACCTATTGACCTGACTCTGATAGTTCTACTGATTCTGACAGAATATCACACCTCCCCTGAGCCACTTCCCACACAGACCATCTTTAGTCCTGTCGCTAAGCATTGTTCTGAGTTGGGAACATTTTTGTGGGTCAGCTGTGAGACACATATTCTAAAGAAGAGTCACACTGGTCTCAAAAGATTAACTCCATTTCTCTCTCCAGGAATGATGAGTTTATCCAGTAGCTCTCTGTGTTTATGAGAGAGGCATGAGTTTGAATCTCAGTCCAGATTTGGCTCCATTGATTGCCCTGGGTTTGATGTTAGCTTTTTTCCTGCCTTTGTACACTGTTTGCTTATTAAATAAATCTCACCTTCTTCACAGATAGCCAACTCCAGTCTTCACGTGCTCAAGTTGCCATCAAAATCCTGGACATTAACGACAATGCACCAGAATTTGCTAAACCTTACGAAGTGGATATGTGTGAAAATGCAAATACAGGAAAGGTGAGTATCAGTGACAATCTTTAATGATCTGTTACATTTCTAAGGATTGTTGAGTGGTTCAAAAATATTGGAAAGTATCTCGACCTTCGGGGAGAAAGCTCCACAGACTTTGTGTGTCTTCATTAAGAAAAAAATCCTTACTTCATAGGCCATTCAGACCCTCAAGTCTGCACTATCAATCAATGAGACCATGGCTGATCTGATAATCTTCATCTCCACTTTCCTGCCTTTTCCCCACAACCCTGGTTCCCTTCCTGATTAAAAAGCTGAACTTACTAAACAAACCAGCTTCTATGGCCCTGTTCAGTAAAAAAAATTGACAGATTGTCTACCCTCTAGCAGAATCAATTCCCCTGTCTTAAGTGGGTAAACTCATACTCTGAGATGATGCCCTCTGGCCCTGGACTCTCCCACAAGGGGAAACAATCTCTCCACATCTACTCTGTGAGGCTACCGTGTAAGAAGCTAAAATGTTTCAATTAGGTCTCCTCCCATCCTTCCAAATTCAATAGGCACATGCCTAGCCAAATGAACCTGTCCTCATAATAAAATCCCTACATAACCAGGATCAACTTAGTGACCTTCTCTGGGCTGTCTCCAGTGCCAGTACATCTCTCCTTAGACAAAGAGCCCAAAACTATTCACAGTATTCCAGCTGCGGTCGAACTAAAGTTTTTGTTTAATTTTTGCAAGACTTCCCTAGTTTTATAAGCTATTCTGTTTGAAATAAAGGCCAGTATTCCATTCGCCTACCCAATTACCTGTTGAACTTGGATGCAAGCTCTTTGTGATTCATGCATGAGGACCCTCCAAATCCTTCTGTGCTATAGCTTTCTGCAGTTTTTCTCCACTTAAATAATATTCAGCTCCTCTATTCTTCCTGCCAAACTACACAACCTCACATTGTTCCAAGTTGCATTCTGTCTGCCAAGATTTTACCAACTCATTTAGCCTGTCTATATCCATTTGCATACTCATTTTGGTATCCTTGCCACCACTTGTCTTCCCACTTATTTTTCTGTCATCCGTATGCTTGGCTATAGAACATTCACTTTTCTCATTTATGTCACTAGTAAATATACCAAATAATTGTGGCCTCAGCACTGTTCATTTCAGCACTCCACAAATTACACATTACCATCCTGAAAGTACCCCTGTTATCACAACTCTCTGTCTTCTATTAGATAGCTAATCTGCTATCCAAGCTAATATACAACCCTTAACATCATGGACTCTTATTAAGCAACCTCAGTGGTACCTCATCAAATGCCTTTTGGAGATACAAAACAAAAATTCCATCTGCTGGCTCACCTTAATTGTTTCTGCTTGTTACCTTCTCAAAGAATCCTAATAAATTCCTCCACATGAAGCCATACAGACTCTGTTTGATTATGTTATGTATTTCTCACTTCGCAATTGGCCTTAATGAGAGTCTCCTTATTTCTAAAAAATATCACTAGTTCTGGACTCTTTCACATAGTTAACATCTATCTGGCACCCATTCTGTTAAATTCCTTCAGAATCTTATGCAATCGTTATTCATTCAGGGGATGTGGGGTGTTGCAGTTTGGACCAACATTTATTCCCTATCCCTCGTTGAGATGGTAGTGATGAGCTGCTTTCTTGAACCTCTGCAGGCCATTTGGTGTCGGTAGACCCACAATGTCATGAAAGAGGGAATTACAGGATTTTGACCCAATGACAGTGAAGAAATGGTATCAAGCCTCACTGGGTTAGCACCATGAAACATGAAAATCAAGCCTGTCTATATCCGGGAAAAACCAAAAGAACAGCGGATGCTGTAAATCAGGAACAAAAACAAAGTTTTTGAAAACAAAGATGAAAAACATAAACAAAGATGCTGGAAAAGCTCTGCAGGCCTGGCAGCATTCGTGAAGGACAAAACAAAGTTAATGTTTCGAGTCTGGTGACCCTTCCTCGGAACTAATGGTGGCTAGGAAAATGTCAGTTTATATGTAGAAAATAGGGAGGTGGGTGGGGTAGGGAGTAAACGATAGGATAGAGCCCAATGAGAGAGAAAGACAGTTGGACAGACAAAGGAGTTGCTAACGATCAGGCTGGGAGGGTGAATAGTTATTAATGGGGACTGTTAGTGACTAACAACAGGGGGTGTGTAGTGGCAGGCTATGTGGTAATTGGGCCTGGTGTGTGGGGTCGGGGGCTGGAACATGGGAGAGTTTAGGCCCTAAAATTATTGAACTCAATATTGAGTCCGGAGGGCTGTAGGATCCCCAAGCGGAAAATGAGGTGTTGTTCCTCCAGCTTGCGTTGGGCTTTGCTGGAACACTGCAGCAAGCGAGAGACAGAGATGTTGGCCAGGGAACACCTCCAGCAAGATGCTACCACTGGACACATATTCCCCTCCCCTCCCTTGTCCGCCTTCCACAGGGACCGTTCCCTACGAGACACCCTGGTCCGCGCTTCCTTCACCCCAAGCACCTCCCCACAGCCCCACAGCACCTTCCCCTGTAAATGGCAAAGGTGCAACACCTGCCCATTTACCTCCTCCATCCCCAGTATCTAAGGGCCCAAACATACCTTCCAGGTGAAGCAACACTTCACCTGCACTTCCCACTATCTAGTCTACTGCATTCGCTGCTCACAATGTGGTCTCCTCTACGTTAGGGGAACCGAAACATAGACTTGGGGACCTCTTCACAGAACATCTACATTCCGCTCGCAAAAAAGACCCTGAACTACCTGTTACCTGCCACTTCAATGCACCACCCTGTTCCCTGGCCAACATCTCTGTCTCTGGCTTGCTGCAGTGTTCCAGCAAAGCCCAACGCAAGCTGGAGGAACAACACCTCATTTTCCCCTTGGGGACCCTGCAGCCCTTCAGACTCAATATCGAGTTCAATAATTTTAGGGCCTAAACT